GCACTGTTATCCAGATCCGCATTTCCGAAGTATTTATACATATATAGAAGTTGAACAGAATGGATTGAGTGAACCTGATAAGCTGTTACATGGCTAGTACTGATTAATTGTGCAAAATTATTTCTACTAACAACAGGTACACAGAAATTTGATCTAATATTCATAAAATACTTGCAGCATATTTCTCATTGGATTAATAATAATCATTAAAATATATGTACTTCAGAACGTTATGAAGTTCCATTAAATAAAATCTTTCTAATTTTTTTCCCATCATGGCTATGCTACAGTTGCCTTTTGAAAATAAAGACAAATCTAGTATTTTAATATATGCAAGAGATTGATTGATATTGGATAAAGTTATGTTGGTAAAACAGATTGGAATTTCTTCAGACATGTTCCATTCTATATCCCAAATGAGATTTTAAAAAAGTCTTAATTAGATAAGGTATTCTGCTCTCAAAAGCGTTTCTTTGAACCAATGCTATAAAATAGAGCCTTTGTAACAAGAGAGTGATACATTGCAAAAAGTACACATAAAGGGTTATTTGTTAACTCAACAATTAAAGGATAAAATGAGATAGAAAAATTAACAGAGTGCTTTTTCCACTCCATGAAGTGTCAAAATAGATGTGTTGAACACAGTAGTCAACCACCATTTCCAAGTATTAACCATTTATAAATAAGTACATTTTAATACATACAGTTCATTGTACAGGTTACAATCTGTATACATTAGGGAGGGGCTGAGGATAATGCATTCTTTTTGAACTTTTTCCACGTCTATCTCACAGCTTACATGTACAGACAATAGAACTCTGCTCAAGCAAATACAGTGAAGGGAAAGAAACATATTTCTTTCCTTTATACAGGGGTGGCCAAAAGTCTCAACCGACTGCAGGGATTTGTGCAGCATCCCTACAATAAAAGATCACAACTGTGTGGTGATTCAATATATCAGTAAGAGAACAGAACATGCAATTGAATATTATACTGTACAGGGAAATTCTTTACATCAGATTGATAGAAAAAAGGAAAAGGAACTCAGTATCTTTCCAGCAAGTTGGCAAACCAGAAAGATTTAATACAAAGGAATGTGTGTTGCTGTACAGAGGCAGGCAAGGCAGGCAAAATGTCTCGCTTTTCATGGGAAAGAAATTGTTATGAGAAACATATTTAAAAGCAAAACATTCATTCCCTGAAAACATATCTTTTATATAAACATATTAATGCCTTGCACTCTGTAGAATGACAGAGTAACAGTAAATATGGTAGGTAATGATCTCAAGGTCTGGTAAATGTTCAGGTGGAACAAAGTTAAACTGCCTTGGTTCTCTCATAGTCTTTGTGATAGCAACAAGCAAAAAGCATCTAAGCATCTTCCCTTTTTATTTTTTACTTCCAAGTAAGACTTTCAAGCAAGCAGAAAAGTGTAGAAGCTCGTTCAATTCTATTAAGTCTCTTGAATATGTACTTGTTTGAAATGCAAAAGCAGTCCTCCCCCACCCTCTGTGTGTGTGTGTGTGTGTGTGTGTGTGTGTTTGTATGTATGTATGGATAGATAGGGAGGGAGGGAGGGAGAGAGAGAGAGAGAATGAATGAATACCAACATTGTTGTCTAGGACTGTTTCTACATTTTAAACAAGTGCACATTCATATATTATAAGGTCCTAATTTGAAATAGCCATTAGATAATACTGTGTTGAGGTTCTATAAGTTAATTCAGTTACCACTACACAAAATACTCTGCTATGAAATTTCAGCCCTTAATATGATTTTTCTTGTTAGGGGAACAATAATAATCCAACAATGATATTCAAGTAATTAGGGAGGGGAGGCGCAGTTTAGCTATCTACCCCTTTGTGCTTGTGCCTTAGGTTTGTCCTTCCCTTTTCACAGCAACCATAAATTCAGTGAAGGCATCAACATGTAAAAAGAAGTATATTAGGTTTTGACCCCTCTAAGCCCTTTTAAAAAGCTGAACTCTAAATAGCTGAAGGTCCTGAAACTCCAGTGTTAAGTAATGCAAGATGGGGAGAGAGATGCAGCTTTCCATTCAAGAAATTACTATGGGCTACCTTAAGGAGAGAAGAAAAATTTATAGGCACAAAGTGTTTTTTTTAAATGTAAGGTGCAGAAAAGCTGGCACTTCGGTTTTTATTAGATGATCATGAACAGTAGAAACTTGTTAACTCCTGTCTAAGGCCAAGTGAACAGCTTGGAATTTCAAAATGGATGCATTTTGTTCCTTCTTTTAGCACATTTTGTAATAAAATTTGAAAGAATAAACATACTGCCTTCCCTCTTTGCCCTCCCCATGATAGTTTCTACTTCACTAAAACAGCAAAATAATTTATATTTCCAGATATTCGATATTTTTGAGAGCCTCAAAGAAACTTTTGATATAAGAATAAATAATTGAGCCATTTACCAAGCTAGCAACTCTCTCCCCTGGAGCCAAGCCAAACTTAACATGTATTAAGATTTCTACATTATTCTTAGGACCTGATAGCAATCTTACTTGGACCCAGCTTACCTAATTGTTTCGAATTCTTAGAAATCAGCATTACAGTACTAAGTCTCCATAGTCCTCTAGAAAGCAAATTCAGGGGCCAAACAAGACAAAATTAATGTGTGAATGCAATTAACATGCCCATTTTTTATATATGACTAAGCAGTTAAGATGGACCAGTGAAGACAGAGAGAGGAAGTAGCTTCCTCTTTCTGCCAGTTAAGCTGTTTTACATTTAATAGGAAGCCTCTGTTGATGATTTTGGAGAGGTAATTTTTGTAATGATCTTAGGAAAGGGAGAAAGAATTCAATTTCGCTTAAGACTGCTTAGACTTCATATCTTTACTAGAATCAGCTGGTACATCTTTGACAGCCAGATGCACAATAAATTAGCATCTATATTTTTGTTCACGAAAATATCCAGTGAGCAAAAAAACTTTCTGCAAAGCCCGAGTAACACCATGTGGTGGATTTGGTAAAGCAAGCATACATTCACAGTAAAAGTCATATAGGACTTGAGGCTGTGATTTATTTGGTATGTTGATTTCATAGAAAATAGTTCTGAAACTCCAGCTTAGGCATGTGATGTGCACACATGTATAAATAAAAAATATTAGTACAACACTTTTGCATGTCTTTAAACAAACAAAAAGCAGCATGGCAGATCAATCTGTGATGTGGTATTAGCCACTCTCTCTTAACTATCCTGAGTTTTTAAAAAAATCCTTTGAAAGATGAATTAAAAGACAATTAAATATATTATTTTGTGCTGTGTTATATCTCAAGACAGTATATGATAAGCAATAAAGAACTAAGCTGAGAGCAAATCCAGAGGGAATTATTCTCTGGCAGATCTTCAGAGAAATTTGTCTTTTATTTCATGTGAGATGGTTATTTGGTAACTAAAAGCACAACAATTAAGCCTCAGATGCACCTAAAGAAAATTGCTGGAAGAACACAGCATATATTTCTCTTTGTACTAAAAATGATTTCAACTTTTGAGGCTTATATACAATGTCAGTACTTGTGCTGTATACCTTGAATCATTGCTTCTTTTTAAAAAATATATACTGAACGACAAGAGCTTTTTATAATGTGGGTATCATTTATGTTTAAATAACCATTACTGATCATAGAAACAAATGCAACTATAAAGTGCACCCAATTTACAGAGAACAGGTGGCAAATCCATCAGTGCAAGAATCCTGTGAAATCACAACACAGTACTGTTTAAGAGACAGAGAAAAATTTGCCCAACAGCAGTAATAGATATCTCATTTTGGATGAGTATGCCATTTCTTTTACTAACTGCTAAATGTAAACAATTATGGTACAGCGAACCCTGTGACAGTGAAAATGGAGCCAAATCCAAAGTTATGAGTTTTCATTCATGAATATTGAAATCTTGAAATTATCAAGTTAGTTATGATTCCACCTTCCATATGACAGAGATAGTTTATTAATTATTTTTAACTTTATTTACCAGGAAAGAGTGGATTGTATCTCAGTGCACTTATGCTGATCATGTGCACTGTGGTACAAGCAATTATATAAAGGCTCAAAATCAGAACATAACAATCTGACCCTCCTCTGCCTAGTGTGAGAAAATAGGTTCTAGCTTTTCCAAGATATAAGCCAGACAAGTGCAAAAGTGTTTTCAAAATAAATCACTGATAAACACAACTTTGTTGATGCAAATTCCAGTTTTAAAGAGTTTAAAATTGAAAATAACCATTTTTCATTAAGCAGGAGGAAAGTTTTACAAGGCCCAGAATCCAAACCATCTATGAGATAAAAGAAATATGTGAGAAAAACAGCAGTGGCTTTGTTCTGATCATTAAAAAAAAGCAAATATAGAGTTGTATCTTTATATTTTTTTATGAAACTTTTCCTTCACTTCTCTCACACTCCTGCATCATACATACACATTCACACTGAAAGAAAAGAGAGAACACTATTGTTGGTTTCACTCAGTTAAATAAAAACTAAAGAATGTCCCCAGCTCTTTGAAAAAAAGCATTAGCAAATATCTGAGATTCTTTGACACCAGCATGCCATAGCATGAATCAATCAAATTAGCAATTTTCTATTTAGCAAGCAAATTTTGTACTGTGACCAATTCAGGAGGGAAAAACGTGTGCAAAAAGTTAGAAAGAATCAAAATCAAAGTAAAAGTTCAGGTAATCCTAGATTTACGACCACAATTGATCCCAACATTTCCATTGCTAAGCAAGACAGTTATTAAGTGAGTTTTGCTCCATTTTACTATCTTTCTTGCCATGGTTATGAAGTAAAATCACTGCAGTTAGTTACACTAGTAACACAATTGTTAAGTAATCTTACTTCCTCAATGACTTAACTTGTCAAAAAGTTGTAAAAGGAGATCATATGATCCAAGAACACTACAACCATCATATATACTTGCCAGTTGTCAAGTGTCAACTTTTGATCACATGATCATGGAGCTGCTGCAACAGTCATGTGAAAAAAAATCACATTTTTCAGTGCCATTGTAACTTTGGTCACTAAATAAATGTAAGTCAAGGACTACCTGTAACTTTGGAGATGTTACATTTCACTCAGAGAAATATGCCAACTTATAATAAGGATACAAGAAATGACTAGAGAAAATAGTGATTAAAATTGTTACATTGATCTCTTTGCCTTTCTGAACTTTTTCAGGAGACAGAAAAAAACATATTTTATCATACACTTCAATTCATATGAAGGAACTCCTGAATACAGCATTTTAAAAAAATAGTGTCATAAAGCACAGTGGAAGGTGTTCTGTATTTTAAAACCATTAGGATAGTTTGACAAAAATAATGAAGAAAAATTAAAGGGTCAGGATTCTAGCTATTCACTTCTAAGCAACAATGATATGAAGAAAAACATATTTTAAAGAAAATATGATTTTTAGAAGACCAATTTATCCTCTGAATGACCAAAATGCAAAATGTTTTCTTTTTTGGCCTGATTTATGTTTCTGCCCTAGAGATGAACCCTCCATACAATTGGTTTCTTGATTCACATATAAATTCATAAGAGTTTTCTAATTTTAGATACCCAGATAGTACTCCAATACCCCTAGGAAACATAAACAATGATCAGAGATGATGTGAAGTATAATCCAGTATCTGAAGACCCAATGTTTTAAAGCATTTGATTAATTCTTTTTTTAAATGAATTTTACTGATTATCAACATGTCTCCAATGTGATTTGTTCCAACAGGAAGATGTGCACTAGAAAATTGACTGGATATCTAAGATAGAGAATAAAATCAGCACTGACTGTTGGGCTGAAGTGGAGAGAACTTTAATTTCTCCCTAAATATTTGTTCAATGACTTGGAAAAAATAACAGTTTTAAAAGCTAGTACCAACAGAAGGGTAAAGGTAAGATGCTAAGAATAAATATGATTTTTTTTAAAAAAGTGCAACCCTATCAGAAAGCAGACTGGGTTTTATGCATAGCTCTTTGTTAATACTAAAAACAAAGATCCCTCATTTTCAAAGATTAACAGCTCTTTGGACCTAATGAGCTAACACCAACTGAAAAGTGTAATTCCCCAACAAAAATAAAGGTCAGTACACAAAAAAATGGTCAGACTGTTTTTAAATCAATTCAATTTTGAAATTAAAACTTTTCTTCAAAGAGCTGGTTACTTCCCTTGAGCGTGTACATAATTTGACTCAGCCCCCATACTGTACATTTAATTAACTAATTGGCAGCTGAAAATTGTATGGTGCTGGCTTTCTCTGAGGTCAGCTGTGTATAGAAGAGAATTTGGAGCATGTCTTGGACTGCCTCATTATCATACAGAAAACACAGGTTATCCCCTGGGTGGTAGTCTGCTAGTAAATACAAATCTTAGAAAGGAAGAAAAAACAGCAACATAAGATGTGAATTCAGCCAGGAAAAATGTGCTAAAAATTAAAAGGCTCTTACTCCAAGACACATCCATTTTAAACATTAGATTCCACAAATGGTCTCTTTGGTTTGATTGGGGATGTCTGCCCTTGCCTGGAGTCTCTGGAAAGTTGCCTATAGATGTTGTCCTGATATGCCTGTGCAACAGGCAGTGTCCTGGCCACCTTAACATCAGGATATGAAGAAGTTTGGCTAACTCTTTCTAGAAGCTCTCCTCTGGAGCCATTGGCCAAAATCCCGTGTGGACTGTAATAGTCATCCTCCAATAAGTGGCCATTCTGTGCATTGTTAGTTTTGTTATAAAAGGCAAGGCTGCTGACTGAAGAAGGTGGGCTGAATGTTTCTGGCTGAGGAAGATTTCCAGGAGATGTAGGGCTTATAACGGTATCCACTGAAGATACAGCCCAGGTTCTGCTTTGTTGGTGTAGGTGAGGATACTGCTGAGTCCGGGCTGTTTTATCTATGATTCCCATGAAAGGTGTGGTCCTGGAGCGAGCAGGTTCACTGGGGTAACCACCTTGGGTTGGAGATACTGGGGAAAGCTCATCACATGATCTGTCATATGCTGGTTTAAGCGGAATCTCCATCTGTTGAACAGAAGCAGAAGGTCGGAATGGGGGAGTCAAATTGGGAGTAGAGGAAATGCTACTGCTAGAAGGGGAAAATCTGAGACCAACACTTTGAGAATGAAGCAGAGGTCTTGGAGTTGGTGGATGAGGCTTTATTTCATTGGAATTTACTGTAATGGGCCTTCGTATCAAATGGGATATGTCAGGAGAACCAAGCTGACTAGAGGGTAGAGAGGAACGTTCCAAATCAAGCTTTGCATGACAGACTGGATAGTAGGAAGCTGACTGGCTCCGCCCAATCTGTGGAGTTTGACTATATCTCATCCCTCCACGATAAGCAGAGGAAGGTCTTTGTGGAAGATCCTCTTTAGTCAGCCCTCCATGCTGACAGATTGCCCCTGCACTTAGACTGGCTTGAACATGCTGCACAGGTCGCCCATCTCCTACTATTCCCCCAATAGAGGTCTGATACACCAACCGATTTTGGCCCCCAGCCATTTCTGCCAGTGAAGACTGAAATTTGTTGGCCACAGAATGGGATACTTGGCCATATGTTCCTGTTGGGATTACAGTACTACAATGCCCAGCTGAACTTGATTGGTTGCTTCTGACAATCTGTGCCTTGGCAGGTTGCAACCTAAGTCCTTGTTGTGGAACTGCAACAGGTAGTGGAAGCATCTGGAAAGATCTCTGTGTCATTTTAGAAAGTGGAGACTTGGGCCGACTAGGAAGTTGAGTGATGTTGGATTCTTGCTGGTATCGTACTGGTGAACTGGACTGAGCTCTGTAGACACTCACACTATCTGCAGGAGGACTGGCTCGATACTGAGGGCCTCTACGAAGGGGTGAAGGAGGGGGGCTTTGATAATCCTTTCCTTGGCTACCAATTGGTGGTGGACTAAAACGGTAAGAGGAGGGCTGGTGAGCAGGAGAGGTGTGTGGTGGACTAGGCCTATATTGAGAATTCTGGTGTGTTGGAGAAAGTGCTGGTGAGGTGGGTTGATATCCTTGCCTTGTTGGTGATCCTACAGAATTATTTGATCTGAAGTCAAAGACCTGATGTGAACCAAGTGGTGAATTGGAGATGTAGGCAGAGTCCCGATGGACAGGTGAAGATGGTGGACTTTGGATAATGGGCAATGTTGGGCTAGGTCGTGATTCTGTCTGCAAGCCAACAGAAATGTTTTCTACATCTTGCTCAAGATATTCTTCTTCCAAGATGTCTTGTACTGCATACAACTCTTCTTCCTGTGTTTCTGATTCAGATGCTGCAAGGGGTTGTTGTTGTAGTTGCACCTGGGTCTGTCTGCACTCTTCTTCTACCCGCAGAAGGAGCCGCTGGATTTCACGGTTGTTCGGACAAAGTTTGATGGCCTCATTCAAATCCTCCAGTGCTGCTGAAAACTGCCTGTTTTATCCAAAAAGTGACAAAATAAAAAGAAAACAAGAGAGTAAAATTTACTCTGGATAACAATGGCTTCAATATGAATTTGGTATGCATAAAATTGTAGCTAGCTTGAGGAGTAGGAGTTCCAAATCTTATGAACAAAATTATTCAGCTGTGTATTTCTTCCATTTATCCAGATGAAGAAACAGACAATATTTCCAAGATTGCACTCTTGGAGATGAGGGAACAAAGACAATACGTTGGGATATTTCAGATCTGTAGAGCTCTGTTTCTCCACTAGTTTAGGTCTGAGCATTTGCCAGTTTAAGGATCCAGACAAAAAGCACACTGACCTGCATTCAGCCAGTGGATTCTGTTCTGAATATTGCTGTCTTGGAAATGAAGAGAACAAGGATAGGAAAGTGTCTAACAACAAATAATCCCTCACAAGCCTTTGCCTATCCTATGAGGAACAGAAGGGTGGGAAGTTTCAAGGGAGATGGGTTGTCATTTACAGGGACACTGGTAGATTTCGAACCAAATAGTAATCTAGTTGTATGTTTCTGATTGATAGATTTTATCTCTACACTTTTCATGCATTTTTCTTTCCTGTTCAGTTTTTAAAACACACAAATGTGTTTTAAAAACACAAAAACTATTGAACACCTAAAGTTTGACCTATACTGACTATAGATTCTGGGAGGCAAGACAAGAAGATATTTTTTTTACTGAAGACCCCAAGAATCTGAATGAGGGGAAGCCCTAGCAATTAATTGTGTTAACTGTTTGAACATTATATTGCAACTCTGGAAAAATCAAATAAAACAGCATAAATGTGGAAAACTATAATGCTAATTTGCACTTTAACTCAATTAGTGGAGTTCTGACTGTGGAATGAAGTTTAATTACATCTAGGAGAGACCCAGAGAACAGTATATAGTAACCTAATGGGCAGTTATTGAGCAAAGGGACTCAACTGTGGGATTTTCAGCTCAATCTCACAGAAAGCACACTCTTGTTATCTTACTCTGATCAAATAGAAAGCAGTTTCTGAAAGATAAAGCTCTTCAGCAATTTCAGTATTCTGAAATGTGATCCCACCTTAAGCACATGAACTGGGCTGTACACACACACACACACACACACACACACACACACCTATGCAAAGGTTTTAGGCAGTTGTGCAAAAATGCTGTAAATTAATACTTTCAGAAATAAAAGTGTTCATAGTTTATTTTTTATCAATTAACAAAATGGAAAGTAAAGGAACAGAAGAGAAATCCAAAGCAAAATAATATTTGGGGTGACTACCCTTTGCTTTCAAAACAGGATCAATTCTTACACTTGCACAAAGACAAGGATCTTGTACAACTAGAATCAGAAGAATGATTAACCAATTATACCATGTTTTCCTGAAAATAAGACAGGGTCTTATTTTCTTTTGACCCCTGAAATAAGTACTTGGTATTATTTTTGAGGTGTAGGAGGCAGTGAGTGTGGTCATCTCATGGTTGCTGCTGTGTTGCAATATTTTTAGGGAGGAGGGCTTATTTTTAGGGAGGAGGGCTTATTTATTTCCAGGGGAGGGCTTATTTTAGCGCATGCACTCAAAAGTCCAATTTGGCTTATTATCCGGGGAGGTCTTATTTTTGGGGAAACAGGATACCAAGCAGGTGCTAATGATCATTAATTTTATATGTAGGTTGAAACACAGTCATTAACTGAAACAGAAACAGCTGTGTAGGAGGCTTAAAACTGGGTGAGGAACAGACAAACTCTGCTATTAAGGTGAGGTTGTGGAAGACAGTTTCATAGCTGAGCACAGGAACAAGACAAAAGGTAGTTATACTGCATCAGTAAGGCCTCTCCCAGGCAAAGATTTAGAAGCAGACTGAGGTTTCAAGATGTGCTGTTCAAACTCTTTTGAAGGAGCACAAAGAAATGGGCAATGTCGAGAACCACACATGCTGTGGTCAGCCAAGGAAACTTAATGCAGAGATGACAAACACATCATGCTCACTTCCCTTTGGCATCAGAAGATGTCCAGGAATGCCATCAACACAGAACTGGCAGAAACCAGACCCAAGTATATCCATCTATTTCTACATTTTGATGAATCAAAATGTGAAATATTTGGCTGTAGCAGGAGGCAGTTCAAAGGGCTGGAAAGCATACAATAATGAGTGTCTGCAGGCAACAGTGAAGCATGGTGGAGATTCCTTGCACGTTTGTGGCTGCATTTCTGAAAATGGAGTTCAAGATTTTGTCAGGACCAATGGTGTCCTCATTGCTGAGAAATACAGGCAGATACTTATCAATCATGCCATATATCAGGCATGATTGGCCCCAAATTTATTCTGCAGCAGGACAACAGCCCCAAACATATAGCCAATGCCATTCAAAACTAACTTCAGCATAAAGAACAAGGAGTCCTGAAAGTGATAGTTTGTCTCCTACAGAGCCCTGATCTCTACATTATTGAATTTGTTTGGGATTACATGAAGAGACAGAAGAATCTGAGGCAGTCTACATTCTCAGAAGATCTGTGGTTAGTTCTCCAAAAAGTTTGGAACAACCTTGAAGGAGTTCCTTCAAAAACTTTGTGCAAGTATACTTAAAAGAATTGGTGCTCTTTTGAAGGCAAAAGGTGGCCACTCCAAATGTTGATTTAATTTGGATTTTTCTTCTATTCATTTACTTTCTATTTTGTTAATTAATAAAAATAAATTATTAACATTTTTATTTCTGAAAGCATTTTACTTTACAGCACTTTTGCACAACTGCCTAAAACTTTTGCATAGTTCTTTGTGTGTAGATGCATGTGTATATTTTGATCCAACTGCTTTCAACCTTCTTACATAACAGGTAGCCTTATACTTAGAGCAAGTTATTGATTAATCTACAAAATAATCCTCCAAGCTGATGCATGTTATTATGGTGTGAATAAAGGCAATACTAGCAGAATATTCTATAAGGACGTTATGGCAAAACTTAAAAGAGCTACTATAGCTGAAACTATGGAAGGTGCTCAGCTTGATGACAGGCTATAACAGCATCTGAATCTGTTATTTTTGGATTATAATTATATTCTTCCTCAAATATATTCTTATTTGTTCCTTGTGTGGATCAGGACATTTTTAGGAGTGTATGACACCCAAACCTTCATTTCTCTCTGGCTCTCCTCTCACCTGCTGCTGCGTTTGGCCCTTGCTCTTGCATAGTAAGCTTCATAAGATTTCGGTTTCAGCTCCAGTGCTTTAGTAGCAAATTCCTCCGCCATTCCAAAATCCTGCCATTACAATAGGTGCGTAGATAAGTCAATGAAAAAACAGACAGAGAATTTGGGAAGAAAAGAAATAAAATAGATAGATTGTTGTAAGCGGACTGAGTATTTTCCAATGTTAACAAAATATCAGACAGCTGGTATCGAGAGATCCAACTTTTTTTTAGATATTATCGGTTCCTAACCTAGGATTGTAAGTGTTAAATCTGTTCTTTGGGCATACATCCAGTCCATGTATCATCATTTATTCCACCCTAGAAATAGTAAAATCTACTTCATTTTTTTATTTGCAACTTTCTTAGTGCTTCAATACTAATAACTTGAAATAATTTATGGCTTCATACTGACCATTGACATGAACAAGTTGTGGAACATACGTATATATAGTTTCCCCATATTCTTAGGATTGCCTCACTTGAACTGTCATGTGTTGAAGGAATTAGGTGACAGGAACATAGGGATATATTATATAATCTGGACATTATCAATAATTCCTAATAATTATCTTTATGATTATGTGAAGGATCCTAACTAAATACAGAAGTGCACACATTAACAACTATCTAGGTTGTTCCATACTTGTGTGGCCAGTAGTATATAGAAGGGAAGACATGGCAAAATGAGCAGCATGGGCAAGCTTACATTGTATAAACCTATCATTCTTTAAAACTTTTAAGTGACATTTCTCAGAATTAAAATTCCAAGGCAGAAGTAGCTATACCTGATTTTACCTGAACTTTTTGTTGCACTATAGAGATAGAAGTAGGTATATCTGATTCTATTTGAAATAAGAGTTTCTCAACTAAGCTAGAGTTAATACCATAATTTTGATGAAATAGGTTTGTAATATTAAGTGCCTTGTTGGATGGGATCCCTGGCCCATGTAATCCAGGAGTCTGTTCTACAATAGCTAACCAAGTGTACAAGGCAGCAACTGTAAAATTCTTGTTATTTTTTAAGTTTGTTTAAAATCTAACCTCTTATTATATATCTCAATCACTGTCATTATTATATGATTTCTAACCTAAAAAGTTCTCCTTTTTCTCTCTCACAGCCATATTCCACTATATGCACACAAACACACATTTTATGTTGTTTTAAAGAATGGCTTTGAATAGCATAAAAGACTGTCATGTGTAAGGAGAGTGTAACCTATGCAACTTGAGAACTCACTGTTCTAAGAGAAAGCAAGAGCTTTAGAAGGAAAAGACAATATTTTATATCTACCAGCATCTTTCAATTTGCATACGCACAAATATTTTTTAGAAAATGAAAGGAAGCTATAGTCATAAACTGATGGATTTTTAATTGTTGGAAATAAATCCTAAACTATTGCTTGGCTGTTTCAGAATTAGAAAACGCCAGTGCTCTGTGAAGGACAACCAAGTTACAAAAAGGTGGAGGTTTTAAGGCCATTCTAGGAATATAGGTAAGAGTCTGGTTAGGAAGTGATTAGGAACAGGAAAGGAAGCTGGGAAAGGATCACATTCAGGAATAAGCTGTAAGAAGGAGGGCACTTACATTCATTTTCCTCCGACAGCGTGATAAGTTGAGAAGGAGTGACACCTTCAGTTCCCGGAAAGTTTTTAGATCTTCTCCAAACCCTTCTCGGGGAAACTTCTTCAAAGCATACTGATACCGTTGGGCAGCTTCTTTCACTTTCCCTTTCTAATAAAATGTCAAACAGTAAATGTACCATTCAGTTTTTTTATCTGACTGTTGTAAGAGTTATAGATCAAGAAACTGAATGTGCCTGTAAAAAGATTCTAGAAATAAACAAAGAATATCAGTTATTCTCCTTAAAGAATAACTTTAATCAATTTGGTGATCATTAATAGAAGCTCTATTCTTACAAACAATTCAGGTTCTTTTTCTGCATACCTTTATATTTCTTGCTTTATTGGAGAATCAGTTTGCTAAGAGATACTTTTTGTTGAATGATTAAACATATTAAGAAAGTATTATGTAAGGAAGTAAGGAAAATAAGTTAGAATAAGCAATAACTCCCAATAATTTTCATTATTTAGCACATTTCACTCTAACCAAAATCATGTGCCTAACAGAAATGTAAAATTGCCTAATAATCTCTTCTGGTCTATGGTTTAAGATGCTGTGGATGTTCTCTTGTTATACAGTTTTCAATTATGAAATTGTTATTTGTTTTTCACAAAAAGTTGAACTCATTAATAGGCAAATGGATTAGCAGAGAAAAGGCAACAATTATTATTTCTGTGGAGAAAATGGAATATTGGACACTTACCATGAAGAATATTTTTTGTTTGACGTACTACATCTTCATACTGGACTATGATTTCCCTGCAGTTCAGAAATGGCAAGATTCCTTACCCAAGATCTTTATCGAATCATTCTCTTAATGAAACTTAATGAAAGTTCAATTCCAAAGCAAGAATTAAATAAAGGAAAGGAGGCCCAGTTGATATAATAAAAGAACTAGTGCAGTGATGACGAACCTTTTTTGCCTCAAGTGCAAAAAACACACACGCGCATTGTTGCAGGCACTCGCATACCCACCCCCCATAATTTAATGCCCCCCTACCCTTCTGTGGACTGTGCATTTTTGTGCAAGGCTTCCCTACCACTTCCTGCTCTGGCTGCTTCTCCTTGGCTAATACCCAGTGAGGGAAGAAGTTGCTCTACCACAAACAGCAATTTGGGGGGGGGGGGGAGAAGGGGATGCTTGAGCGTACTCCTGTGTCAAAAAACCTTCCCTTATCATTCTCTTTTGTAAAGATTGGGCCCTTTTTACTCTGTTTGCTGTGAGCCCGGTTGCTATATGACCCCCCCACCCCATCAAAGAGGATCCGAGGCACTGCAGTCAATAGAGAAATGCGGAAGGGGGCTGCTGGCACAAGGGAAAAACATGCAAACAGGCAATGAGAAAAAGTGGCTTCCTTCCCTCGGGCTGGCTGCTCTGTTCCCACCACCACCACCTTGCGCTACCAAAGAGGATCCTGCCTGGGTGCTGCAATCCATAGGGAAATAGGAAGACCTGCTGGCACGAGGGAAAGACAAGCAGCAAGGAAAGAAGAAAAGCAGTTTTTTTCCCTCATGGTGGCTGCTGTTGCCCATTTCTCCATTTCACTTTCACACCATGGAGTCTGCCCCGCCCTCCATTGCCCAGACCCTTGCTTCCGCCTAGCATTTCTTTGCCTACCTGATTTCCAGGTCCATTGTGTTTCTTGCCATTGTGTGCAGGGAAACAATGTTTGTGGGACTAAAAAAAAAACTTCAATCAATCAATTCCAACTTCGGGGGGGAGGGGCGAGAGACCTCATGAAGTTGGAATTGATTGATTGAAGTTTTTTTTTAGTCCCACAAACTTTATTTCCCTGCCCAAAATGGCAAGAAATGATGGAAAAATGAGACAGAGGGGAAATCAGATAGGCAAAGAAATGCTTGGGGGAAGCGAGGGCCTGGGCAATGGTGGGGGGGGGCGGGGCAGGCTCCATGGCGTGGCACTGAAATGGAGAAAAGGGCAACAGAGCAGCCACCATAGGGGGAAAAAGCCACTTTTTTTCTTTCCTTGCTGCTTGTCTTTCCCTTGTGCTGGCAGCTCCCTTCCACATTTCCCTTTGGATTGCAGCAACCAGGCAGGATCCTTTTTGATAGTACAGAGGAGGGGGAAACAGAGTAGCCAGCAGGAGGAAAGAAGCCACTTTTTCTCCTTGCCTGCACTTGTCTTTCCCTCGTGCCGGCAGCTTCCTTCCTCATTTCCGGTTTGTGCGTTGGACTCCTTTTTGCCCTTTTGAGTCTTCAGAGAAGCCTCCGGAGGGCGAAAAACAGCCAACAATCAGCTGGCCAGCGCACACATGCGTGCTGGGGCTAACAGGGCAACGCCTCGCGTGCCGTCAGAAATGGCTCCGCGTGGCACCTGTGGCATAAGTTCCCCATCATGGGGTTAATGTATAACTACAGTTAGTTCTTGAGTTATAACTGTTAGTTTAGCAATCGCTCCAAGTTATGATGGTGCTGAAAAAAGTGACTTACGATTTGTCCTTGCACTTACGACCTCTGCAGCATTTTCATAATTATGAGATTGTGATTCAGCCAGCATGTAGTTACAACAATTACAGCACCCCAGGGGCACATGATTTGCAACCTTCCTAACCAATTTCTAGTGAGCAAACTCAATGGGGGAACCTGTATTTGCTTAATGCCCACATAATTAACAATGAACATTGAAAAAAAGGTCATAAAATCAGGTGTGATCATGTGATAATTTATTTAAGGACTGGATAATTTGGCAAGAGAAGTTCCAGTCCTAAGTCAAGAACTACCTGTGGTAGCGAAGCAAATCTCTTATTTGCATTACAATAGCTAACATGATTTACGGTAAGTACATTGGATTGGTTCTCATAAAAAAATGGAACATCAGCCATGCTAATGAGAAATATTGGGAGAGAAAGAGGGTAAACTGAACTCCTCATGGGTTCTAGGAAAATTTCAATGAGGAATTATTTTTTAAAACATGAAAATGGTTAGGGAAATGCTACAGTACTGTAATGGTGAACCTATGGCACGTGTGCCACAGGTGCACACAAAGCCCTCTCAGTGGGCACGTGAAGTGTGTCCCCAGCTCAGCTCCACCATGCATGCCACTCGCTGGCCAGCTGATTTTTGGGTCTCTGCTGCATATGCAGGAGATGCACACGTGTGTGTGGGGGCAGAGGGGGGCAGGGGGGCAGCGCCCCCTTACCTCATTTTTTGATCCCAGGAGGCTTCAGGGAGGCCTGCTAGGCTCAAAATGGGGCAAGGGTCATGTGCACATGCGTAGGGGAGGCAGGCGGGATGCAGTGCATCACGCACACACGCGCATGCAAGGAGAAAAAGGTTATCTATCACTGCTACAGTAGAACTATGAAAAATATAGAAGGTAAATAAGTAGGTCACAAGAATTCAGGAGAAAACCATTAGTAATAAAAGCAGAGAATAAGATTTTCCTAAACTCTTTCCTGACGATTGATGGGAGGCAATTTAAATGCTTTATTTGAATGTTTTCTTTATAGCATTTAGAACAGGATTGCATCTTCTTAACTTTGTTTCTTAAAAGTTATCTTTTCTGGACTCCCTTCCAATTTTAAAAATTACAGAGGAAGAGCCCAAAAGAGCTTTTGTTTGTATGAGTTACATTTATCAATATTCACCATATTAAAAATTAAAATTGATGCATTCAAGAAAATATTTTATTCATTCATGTTAAAATAACATTAAATCCATTAGAAATTAACATAAATACAATATTTTTCGTGAAAAACTATTTTTAACAAATGAAAAATAGTATGTCGTAATATATGAGTGTTGTAAACTTTCTGAGAGATTCTAATTTTCCCTGTACTCCTGTTTGTTTTTTGTTTGCTTTACTGAGGTTCAGCAGTGTATCATTTAATTGTTTTTGCAATCTCCTGAAGTGAATGATGTTACCCACAGCTCCCAAATGGCCAAATAAACTGTGGGTGAAACTCTTATACCTTAGGTCTGTGATGGCAAATCTGTGGCATGCGGAGCCATTTGTTAGGGCATGTGAGGCATTGCCTTGTCAGCTCCAGTATGCATGTGCGCGCTGGCCAGCTGACTTCAGCCTTCATTTTCAGCCATCCCTGAAGTCTCTGAAGAGTGAAAAACAACCCAACATGCAAACACTGGAAGTTTGGGAACAGATTTCTGGGTTGCTCGTTGGGTTGTTTTTCTCCCTCCCGAGGCTTCAGGGAAGTCTCCTGAAGCCTCGGGGGAGGGGGGGCTTTTTCACCCTCCCCAGGCTCCTAGAAAGCCTCTGGAGTCTGGGGAGGCGAAAAACGGGTCCATCGTGCACTGAGGGTGGGAGTCATATGCACATGCACAGGGGGATTGCGCACATGCAATTATGGGTGTAGGCATGCCCATGCACGACCCCCCTGCACTCCCCTTGCTTTTGGCACGCAATGGCAAAAAGGTTATCTATCACTGCCTTAGACGATTGCAAAAAACCTAAAACAGTATGCTACTAGACTTCTTTTTTCTCCAAAAAACATGGGGAAAAGCAGAAAGCTTATGGAGAAAAATAGTAATTAAAAAAGAATTTTCTCTTTAGTTTTGAACTTGCAATCTTCTATTTACAAGGCAAGTGTGTTAATCATTATTCTATTAGAGCATTCATAGTAAACGCAGTTTTAAGAGGAATTAGAGATCCTGAAATAAAATATGATAATAGGTTTTATATTGCTTCAAAATGGCTGAATGATTTTAGAGGTCACTCACTGGCACTTATAGAGAAATGGCCTAAAAACAGAAATCATTATAGAATGATTCTAATTTTCACAATTTTATTACAATAGGACAACAAACAGCCTAAAGTCATTCACACCACCTCAATCTTACTCTTCTTAATGTAAAATGATGGTTTATATTCTTCTCCTAAGAGGTTTAAATATGATTAAAGATTTAACCTGCACTGGCAATAAAAGATTAGTGCTAATCAGATTTTCTTATAAATAGTGTTTATTAACTATCTTAAAATTACGATGGAAATCTGGTTTATTTAATTATAAGACTATTTACTAAATTACAGATTTAAACAACATAATAAAATAACTTATCAATACCATTTTTTAAAAGGAGCAATGAAAGCAAATTAATTAAGAATTCTATACTGAAAATATATTCAGTGTATTTTAGAAGCAAATGTATCCCATAATCTGGAAGCAACAATTGAAAAGTATTTCTTCCTTAATCCTCATCAGGAAGTATTTTGTCAAAAAGAGAAATCAGAAGATGGCACCAATAAAGTTTGCAGAAATGGAGCAACATTCTTAGGCAATTGGGAGGATGTAATTATTGAGACACTGCAGTCTAACAGGATTTAAAGGATAAAATCAGAAACTTCATCATAGAAACAAACTGGGAATGAGTCAGACTGAGATCAAATTCATACAATATGGTCTGTCTTGCAAGTGCAAATAAGATTCTCACAGTGACACTCCAGGCTAACTGAGGTTTCTACAAGCAGGTCCACACAGTGTACCGTACAATAATGCAGCCTGAAAATTATAAAAGGATGAATGATTATAGCACTGATTTTTCCCCAGGAAAAGAATACAAGAAAATTTTAGTCAGAGTTTTTAAAATTATGATTATGGTTTGCAGAGAAGGAAAATGAGAAATTAAAATTAGTAGAGAGAAATTCACAGTCTGATCATTATGATTTAATTATGGTTAGATATAAAGACTATTATGTCTATGCATAACTTCAACCTGAACTAGATACAACTTGGGTTGAATTTTTTTTTTTCATGAATAAAATATATGCCAATCTTAACTTTCAAAATAAAGAAAACCACCTGAATTCCAGAGAGCTATTTCAGGTATTAGAGAATTCAAACACTCTCTTTTGCTCAGATTGGACAATTTTTCACAGAGTAACTATCATAGATACCATGAACAATTAAAAGACCCTTTGCATTTTATCAAATAATGTATTTTGTCCCAGTGATCACAGAAAATTGTATGGATCATCAAATCTGCAAATGTAGTATTTAACAGTGTTGGAAACATGCGGAAGAGGCCTTCATCCTGCAGAGAATAGATGATGGCTAAATTGTTTAATTAATTAATAATGCTTTAAATACATATGTACATACATAAACTTACATATATTGTTATAAATTTAGGCTATAAATGTATCTTTTTAGCTTTAAAATTAGAGAATTGTAGTTTATTTAACAATTCAAAATATTGCCAGAACTGCCTATGTTATGAATTAAACTTTCTGAAGATTTCTGTATATATTTTCACTTCTCTATAAACAAAGAAGGATAAATGTTTCTCTCTTTTTAACACAAAAGCTCAATTATTAAATATAAAACCACAGCTTCCATCTTACCTTGTAAAACATGTCTCCCTCCTCCATCAATTTGCTCAACAGGATGACCATGATGTCTGGTTTGGAAGTGGCCATTGCCCATGTTGCTGGACCTGTAGTGTACAGGATGCATGATGGGTAAAAAACTCATACAATGCAAAAGGTGGCAGTGGAGGAAAGCTAAAATGAGAAAACATCCTGGGCAGATAATTTCTGATGGAGAGAACAACTTGTTACAGTCAATTCAAGAAGCAACTTTGTCCCAGCAAAAAAGTTGGGTTTGTAAATATAAGTGAATAAAATATATACTTTACAATATTATAATTAAATTAATTTTAGAACAAGTCATAAATACTTGAGTCATTTTTGAAGAGAGAGTATTCACTTAGTGGCATTACCAAGAAAACATTATAGAAAAATGAGTAAGAACAAGTAATAATAAATAGAATTAAAATTAATATCCATATCATTGTACATAAATTAACTGATGTGCAATGCAAAATCTGATACAGATATATGTGAAATTTTCTGTGTCAATATTTGTGTCACCATGTGAAAATCTTATAAAACTTCAGTGTTTCTGAAAAAAAATTGATTCAAACTAAATTCTTATCTGTAAAAGTGCATTCTCCTGATGCAGTTAAAAAATCCAGTTTTGCACTCCAAAAACAAAAACAACAAACAAACAAATAATTTTAGAATGAGTTTTTCCCTCAGTAAATTATCAGCTTCTGAAGTTTTTGTAATAGAAAAGCATTTCAGAAGACTCAATGAAAACAAATTTGCAGTGTTTTACATTTTTTGCAGCATTTTAAGTGAATTTAGTCTTGCATTCAAGTTATTCTCTGCAGCAGTAAGAAAAAATTATTTGAAGGTAAGAAAAATTAAAAGTGGAGAATGGAACATAGGCAGGCAAAACTGTAGAAGAGAAAAGGCAGAGCTGTTAGACCACCAAGTTTGATGATGACAGCAGTGAAATATACCTCTTGGACGACTTGGTAGTGTCTGACAGCCTTTGGGGGATGTGGTGGTGGTGGTGGGGAAGATAGGAGGAAAACACAAAGTTGTGGGAGAGGGAGAAAAAATGGATGAAGGTGAATTTTAAAAAAAGGAAAAAGCAGCAGTGAGAGGCAGGCAGCAAAGCAGCAGCAAATTTTGTGATGCAAGAATTAAGAGACAAAGGCATATGCAGATAATGCTCAAATCTAGAAATATCTACAGAGTAGGGTAGGCAGCATACCAGCATAACACAGCTGTTTTGATTTTCATTTTTAGACAATGACCTTTCTTTAGTTTGTAAGAGCTAAATAATGAATTCACTACTGCAATCATCACATATGGAAATGCTAAGCATCTGCATATTGAAACTGGCTATGTCTATATCACAGGAATATACTGTGTTTTCATATTCAAGAAAGGTATGAAAGATAGGTTATTCCCTTTGTCTCCTTCCTACCTATCTTGGCTCCTTTCTTCAAGAGAGTAACTACAACGGAAGTATTGCGGCAGCCCACTGCCCTGTCGAGGGGGCGCATCCCACTGTAATCCACATGCTCAATCATGGCACCATGATCCACCAGAAACTGAACCTATAAATAAACAAACAACTGCATCAGCATCATCCAGAAACAATCAATGTTGTTATGTGCTGAAGCTGAGATTTCAGATTCATAGAATGCTGGTTATGTTCTTTAAAGCCTTACATGATATAAGGCCAGATTTTGCTTATATGGTAGCTGTTTATTGGTAGTTGTTTCTGCCCATCCTACCCGATCCATTAGGATGGATGTGTTCCTGGTCTTATCAGTAAAACATTAATGCCTTGCAGAATCCAAAAAACATCCCTTCTTTGTAATGGTGCCTGCCTGGTGAAACACTTTCCCTAGATATTCAGGTGGCCCTGATCTTTTTGACTTTCTGGAAACTGAAAAACCTGGCTTTTCCCAGACAGACGGCTAGACTGTTAGTGGTGCATCACATAGAGGTCACTGTATGTATGGTTGAGGATAAACTGTGAGGTTCCTTGGCTTTTGTATTTGTTAGATTTCTTTGTATATATGTTGTTTTTATCATTTGTAAGCTATATTTGTAAATATAGGTTTAACTATATCACTAAGATTGATGTCTCTTTTGATATCAATTGGAGGAATATGACAAGCCAGACCAGTTTGTTAGACTGACCAACCTGTTGCACAAAAATCCCAAATGGTGCAGAAAGTTGGAGTTTACAACATACTTGAAGTATTGTAGGAGTCATCAAGGCTTATTGCTGACAACGTAACTTCATGCGGTTCCTGTTCTTTAGCCCTCCAATCCAATGTTGAAGTTAACATTTAAAGGGCATATAAACTGTTCAATACTGACCATTTATGTGGTGTGAGAAGACAGTTAGTAACCCAATTAACTCTACATATTAAATTAAATATGAAAAATTGACAAAGGTGTCATAGGTTTCAATTCCCCTTTACATTTTATAAGATGTAGCTGAAATATGGATTACATAGTCGATTTTTCCTGCGCTACGAACTATGGAATGAAGAGTGGGGCGTTTCAGTTTATTCTACTGCAAACTGAGATTATTTGAGGGAAAGTGGAGAGGTACCAATATTATGGCAGTGTCTGTATGTCACATAAATCAGTGCCTGTGATAAAGAAATGAAATGAATTATTATATTATAGAATAATAAACAAACAAAAAATAAAAATAATCATAACTTACCACCTCTGCATCTCCATAAAAAGCTGCTAAATCCAATGGAGTACGACCATTTTTGTCAGCGTGATCTGTAGCAGCTCCACTCTCTACCAAAGTTCGCACTACTGAAAGATGGCCTTTTAGGCAAGCCCAGCTAAGAGCAGTTAATCCTTCTTTGTCCATTAAGGAAATTGAGGAGCCTGGAGGAAAAAAAGCAAAGCTGCTTAAGTCCTTGCACAAGGTAAAATGATTTACACCTCATTCTTGTAGCAATCTTTCAAAAAGGTTTGGACTTATTTAAGAATGTATGTATCTCTTTTAGGAATAAGGAATAGGAATAAGTTTATTTATAGGCCGCCCTTTTCCCTGAGGGGACTCAGGGCGGCTAACAACTTATAGGGAGGGGATACAAACAGTAACATATAACATAACACATAATTAAAAATAAACAACATTCATTCAGCATTCGGGTGGGGGCGAATCAAATCTTTACCCCCAGGCCTGGCGGGATAGCCAGCTCTTGAGGGCTGCGCGGAAGGTCTGAAGGGTGGTGAGGGTACGAATCTCCACGGGGAGATCGTTCCAGAGGGTCGGAGCTGCTACTGAAAAGGCTCTCCTCCGCGTAGTGGCCAGCCGGCACTGGCTGGCAGATGGCACTCGGAGGAGGCCTAATCTATGAGATCTAATCGGTCTCGAGGAGGTAATTGGCAGGAGGCGGTCTCTTTTAAAAGAAATACTGCTTATATTAGCTTGATAGATACTGTAGAGAAAAAATGTTACCAAATAGCTTGCTGGAGTAGCTTGTAGAGTATTTTATGGTCAGAAAATGGCTTCGCAACTTTTTCACTATATGTTGGAACAAAATTCCTTAAGAATGAGACAAAGTTATCTGTTGATTAGTTCTCCTATCTAATCTTAAATTCTCCAGAAGCATCTCAGTTAAATCATTATTTCATTAAAACAAAAAACAAAATGGCCTAGTAGGTAAAAGAGAAGAATAACAAAACATAGAACTAAGAGATAAAAAATGAGATCTAAAACGTATGGCCACACAAATTATAATTTCCTTCCCTCTGGGTAACAGTGTCAACTGGGCAACTCAGGAATAGGGAAGCCTTTAGAAGCCAAAGTTGCATAACACATTATGGTTCACTAGTCCTTCCCTGTATCCCAAATCTTGCCAGCTGTTCTTTCCAACATATAATATCATCTTGTTCCCCACAAGAAAAATGTTGATGTATGTATAATTGAGTATTTGCTTAGCCTACTTAGATTAATTGAGTAATTGCTTAGCCTACTTAGATTACCAGGGCAGAGGCAGAAATCTGAGATCCAGTTCATCTATTGACTTACTTGTTGCCCAAAAGAATCTCTGCCCAGGTTGCTTAATTGGTCACCCAGTGTGTGTTGAAATGCTTCTCTTGCTGGCATTGATGACTTCAAGCTTCATGCTTTAGAGAGTTGGTTGGGAAAAGCTAAATATTTTATGGCCAACTGAATTATATTGGTTTGTTCCAGGAAACTCCAGGCAAGTCACAGTTAAATGATTATACCTAGACCCTATCAGTGCCTTGGAGTTAATGTATTATCATCTAGATATGGACAACATTATAACTAGCCCTGTGTCATGATTATATAATTTCCCAATCCTGGTAATAATAGTTTATTCAATTTATATGGCTACTTAATTGAAATAACTCAAGGCTGATAAGATTGACTGCTGTTCATGATTTTTGTGGGGTAAACTGACAGATTACAAAGGTTGATTTCAGGTGCCTTATGAATTCAGATCAAGTCTGGAAAATGCCTGGTGAGAATCTCAGTGATTTCACAGTATACATAACAACAGGAGGTTATGAGAAATTGTTTTTGAGTGCCTTCCCTCTGTATACCAATTTGAATGGCTGCCTTGCTCATTGTAGATTTTGGACAGATGAAACAAAACAACAACAACTGGAATGCTGGTTTGGAAATACGAGAAGTGAAAATGGGAAAAATTCAAATCTGAGCTTACATCATGGCAATAAAACAGATTTAGCACATTTATTGCATCAATGAAATGCATTCAATGGTCTTGTTTAAGCTAGAAAGCATCCTCTCTGAGCAGAGATCATGTGTAGTTTCTGTTGGAATAATTCTTTGCTGATAAAAATAAATCAAATTCACCAATCTTTTGACTCCATGTAATGGCTGGAACAGCATTGTGCTATATTACCTGGAATTCAGTTTTGCCTATGGAGTCCAAGGAAGCAGGGTTGTCTCTGGCATTCTTTGGTTACTTGTGGCTTATTATTGTGTACCTTCTATATCATGTGAACTGCCATATAGAACACGCCTCCCCTGAGATCTGGAAATCTGCTGGGGCTTCTGGAAGATTTTGAAGGCTTTTTTTCTCAAGGGATATGATGTCAGTATCATCTTGTATTTTTCTTTCGTTTTTATTCTGTTAGCAGTTCTGTGAGGTGCTTTTGCTATTTTTAAATTTGTTAATATCTTACAGCTATTTGATAGGATGGCTTTTTTGGGGGGGGGGGGGAAAGCTGCCCACAGTTACCTGATTAAGATGGGCACCATGTAGATTAGAGAGAAACATAGATGGATAGAGAGATCTTTATCCCACAGAAGATTAATACAATAATGAAGAGTGTTTTTACATTCTTTCTTATAAAATCTAAGACTGGACAGTCACAGTGGCTCCCCTCTCTTAATACAAACTATTACTGATAATCTAATCTCCTCGATAACAAAATTCAGCAGAGGGTGAGCTATATTTGGAGTAGTATGTGATCACAAAAATAAAAATAACAGTAGTTTCTACATAGATGCAATGGGTAGATGGGTGGTTTGTGAAATACATAAGTATGTGTTGAAAATTAAAATAAATTGTTGAAAAGTTGTTTTTAAAAATATCCGAAATATTTCCAAAACATAAAACCATTGATTGAAAATAAGGCAGTTCCCAATTGCAATGAAAATGTTTTGACCTTGAAATAAACTCTTCTGGCCTCAGTCGATCATATCTCTATTCTTCTGCATATGAACGATATGGTACAGAATCAAAGAATGAACAAAATTATTTATAAAAATGGGAAGACCTGTATTCTGGAAGATTTGGTCTTAATCTTACAATTTTTCAACACTAACCTTGTCCCAATAAGAACTCCACAGTGCCCAAATGCCCCTCTGAAGCTGCCATCATTAGAGGAGTCCGACCTTGTTTATCTGCCATATTAACATCTGCACCATGGGTGAGCAAGAGATCCACAATCTGAAAACACATAAAGAATACACTGGGTACAAACTATCTACATAAATATTATGTTAGAAGTACCATGGATTTTTCTGCTAAAAATCACAATCTTTTGATGGCTGTTGGCTGTAATTAACTTTTTTCTGGAAGGGGTGGAGGAACCCACAGGCAGGGCAATGGTAACAAAAAAAACCACAAACAAACTATGGGATATATCCCATCGCATTCTTGCATACCTTATGTGTCTGTGACTCAAAAATACATTAAATGCTTCTTAACTGAAACACAGAAAGACTAAACAATTCAAACTAAATTTCAAGATGCCAGTTACTAGGGGCCACCAGAATCTACAGCTAAGAGTCTGAGCTTCTCCCTAATTGTAGAAGGGTGTATTCTAAGTAGTTCAAGAATTTAGCAGAAGAGTCATTTTTTGTGAGGGCTCTTCCTAATGGATGAGCTCAGAGGTTTGTAAAATGTTTAAATGCTTTTGTAATTATTGTGGTTTATTGCTGATTAGCGATTCCTATGATAGATCTTCACGTTTAATTTATGTATCTTTTCATTGGCTGAATTCTCTTACATCCCCTTCCCCAATTCTTCTTCACTGAAATTCCTTTGTTTAGATTTATGACTCTTTTACATTTCAGAAGATAGCTTATCATACTGATTAACTTTCTATGTTGACTTTGGCAGGTTTTTTCCTGCTTAACACCGTATCATCTTTGTTTTATTAATATTTAGAATTGCAACTTTTAATTACAAGGTCAATCACTAAAAGAACAGTTATTTTACCAATACAGTAAAGATTACTTTTTTTGTTTTTGATTCTCTTTCTATATAAAAAATTAAAGTGAAACTTACCTTGATTATAAATACAAACCTAATTGTTTTTAAATCATATGTATTCCTAATAATGTTATTAATTTTGATTTACTTGCCTCTGAATATTATTATTTTGTTTATTTATTTAAATATATTTTGCTTCAACCATGTACCCTACTTTCAAGTAGATAACTTTTTCTAATATTGTTTCTTCAACCACATGAGGAAACTTCAACATAAGGATTTATGAAAATATATTTACGCTTCTTGTTTCTTTCAGGTTTTCTTAGTATTTCATAAACTTATTGGTCTTGTTTTAACTTATCACAGAACTAATGTTTTTATTTCTAAAGTGAACTATTTAAAAAGAGTTAAGTTAACATAGTAAAGACTTAATAGTATCACTCTTTTTTGAGAAATTTTAAATGAATATTGTTTTGATGTATTTTTTCCGAATGTACATTTAAAATTTATTAATTTGGTAATATATTGTACATTTCTGGCCCTTACTATCTTGTATGCTTTGATTTAATATACATTTTCAATTTGTTTTATTATTTTTTCAACTATAAAAGAGTTCCAACATAGAGGATATTTTGAATGCAATCAAATGTAATATTATCTGTGAATTAATTGTTTGATATTTGTTAAAAATAATATTGAGTTTGTTTATGGTTATTTTTCTTCTCATACAGTAGTAGTTGGGTATTATATATTTTGTTTTAAATATCACTGAATTTTATGTTGCTTTAATATTGCCTACTTTTAACCTTTTAATTTTTGTTTTAATTTAATATTTAGAAATTCTGGGCATAGAATAAAGTATTATTTTTCCAAAATGAGTAGGAATAAGGAAGAATCAAAGATGGAGGAAATACTGTTTGATTCCTCTGTACTTTTCTTTCATTGCAAATAATTTTTGCTTCTACAGCACAATTGTGTACTTTTTACATAAGAGAAATAGCGACCATCAATCAGTTACTATTAAATTCTGCAAGCACTCAGACTGCACATCAAATTAATACATGTGATTTACATTATCTGGAGCAGCGGTCCCCATCATTTGTGGTTTGGTTGCCTAGCTGGGGGAGAAAGAGAAATCGGGCCATGTGTCAGGCCGGTTTTCATGCACGCACAACTCAACTTGCACAGGTTGAGCTGCGTGCATGTACACACCGGCTCACTGCTTGCACAAGTTGAGTTGTGCGCAGCCCACCACTCGCATGGCCCGGTTGCGAATAGGCCACGGCTTGGTAGTAGACCACATCCCAGAGGTTGGGGACACCTGATCTAGAGGTCCTCCAGGATAAAATGTGCCAGAGTGGATGTGAGGGCTTTGACTGAATATATGAAATATCAAATCCAGATTCTGGTAAACACAGTGACTTCACCTTCCAAATATATCATATCTGTACTTACAGCCCATGAAAAGCAAAATGTAGGATTAAGAAAATTCTTTACTGAAAAAGCATCCCCAGAAGGTCCCAAATAAAGGGCTGGTTTAATAAGAAAAAGAATAGATGTGTGTTTAGCACTGAACCATCCAAAAAATGATAATTACATTACCATACTTCATTTAGACAAGAATACAACAAAACTATCAGGTGTTAAGAAGTCTCACTGTTTGTCCTCTCTCTGGTAAACAAAGAATTAGCCTTTCTCTGACACTCAGTCACAGGAACATTACAGGAATGTAGGTTCTCCTTGGACATTCCTATACCTGCCTATATGTGGAAGGAATATTACAGCCAATTATTCCCTGACCCAAATTGTACTGGATTAGAGGAAGCCCAAAATGATTTACCACTCCTGGAGAAGATCTTCTACTCACCTTTGTTGTTTAAATGTCACATTGATTGGTGGGATTTCTTACCTGTAGGTTTATTTACTCATATAAATAATTCCTGCCAAATTCCAGCTGGTTGGGAATTCTCTATTGTAGTCATCATTTATAAATAGGGTGATAGGGTTGGTCCTTCAAATTATAGACCAATGAATCTAACTGATATCATAGCCAAATATTTTTTATATAAGTTTGATGCTGGTAATTGAAAAGAACTAGCTACTCAAAGATCAAATTAGATTTGGGTCTGGTCACTCCATTATTGATAACAATTTCATTTTATGTCATCTAGTAGAAAAATATACAGGAAATGAACTATTTACTTTCACAGACTTCATCACAATATTTGATTTAATAAACAAGGACTTGCTTTGGAAAAAATGTATAGACCTAAACATAGACTCCAGCCTCCTCTCTTTAATCAAGGCTTTATACTGAAACTTATGCCTAATGCTATATACAGGATCAACAGTTTATCAATTTATTAATAGAAAGTTAGTTTATTTTTATAGTTTATTAACAGAAAATTTGTACCAATAAAGAACTCACATAAGGTTGTATACTTTTGTTTAATCTTTATGTTAATATTTCAAAGACCCTTCATTCAACCAATATGTATGTGCCTTAAGATATGTAAACATCCTGCTTTATGCAGATGATATGGTATTTATATCTTATATCCAGGTAGGGATGAGAATACAATAAGTGCAAAACTAACTAACTAGTTTTCTGGAAGAGGTGGACTAGGTGTAATTAGGGCCCAGGAAATGTATACAACAAGTCAAATTCTATTTATACTTAGGACTGGCTTTCACAGAAATAGGTTCCTAATTGCCTCATTTTAAGAAGAATTTATAAGGGCACAGTGTATGCCAATGCCACAAGATAATTCACCAACCCTAGTTATATGGGTTCTCTACTTCCAATCATAAAAATATATAACACCAAAATAGTCCCAATGATTACATATAGTGCAGAATGTGAAGATATATAAATGCTGATTTATTGAAATAAACTAAATTGAACTGTTGTTCAATTGCTTAGTTGTATCCAACTTTTTTGATCCCATGGACCAGGAACTAGGATAACTTGGCATGGCCAGCTCAGTGCAGCCAGCTCACCACTGCCGAGTTACTTCTGCTAGCTGACTACTACCAAGTCACGGCAGGGCAACTCAACATGGTCAATCCACAACTCACCATGGGCAGCCAGAGTGAGAGCCAGGAGGTGAGCATAGAGCAATGATGATGGCCAGAGACTTCCCAGTGGAGGAAGAGCCAGGTGGATAGGCAGGCGAGCAGGTGGGTAGAATGCAGAGTGGCAGTGGATATGGTTGGGAGCTTCCCTCTTTTCACACATGCCACTGCTGCCAAACCAAACTCTGCATATCCAAAGTGGTTGATATTTCTCCTGGCAATCTTAATTCCTGCTTATGATTCATCCAATGTAATTGCTCGGACTGCGCAGACCCATAATTTTTTATACACCTGTAATTTTTATTAATAATTTTTATATACAAAAATTGTATACTTAAACGTGTGGGGAGAGTATGGTGTGACTGGGATTGATTGAATGTTCCCACTTTTATTGTAATATTGTTGTTCTATTTTAACTTGTATTGTGGGGATTGATTGGTTGTATGCATGGGTATGTTAGGTGGGCTGGGAGTTTAGCCAGATCCTCCCAGCCCTTGGATGTGTGTGTCGAAGGG